TTTTTTTTTTTATTTATTTATTTTTTTTTCGACCTTGCTTTACGAGCAATCAAATATCCCCCAGCACTACGTACAGCACTTTGTTATTTCCTCGAAATTGTTTCCAATTTTGATAAATAAATCACTAATTAATCAGTATGTATGCTAACCCTTTCTATTTCATCATCGCTTTTACGTTAGCTTTAAGCAGTCCCGGCGGCGGCGTCAGCGGCCGTCAACTCTCTCTCTCTCTCTCTCTCTCTCTCTCTCTTTCTACACACAATAACTCCCTTGACATGATGAGTTGACGATGCTGATAAGTGATATATACTAATACTATATTATGAAATGAAGACAGCACTTGAGATCCGTGTATATATATAGGCAACCTCATGCAGGTAATTAAGGTGGAAACTTATAAAGTGTGCCGGCTGGCCGGACAAATACTATAAATTAGATGGCGAGCTCATCATCGGGAGGTGGAGTTCCACCCGGATTCCGGTTTCACCCGACAGACGAGGAGCTTCTCCATTTTTACTTGAAGAAGAAAGTCTCCTTTCAGAAGTTCGATATGGAGGTCATCAGGGAAGTCGACTTGAATAAGATCGAACCCTGGGAGCTACAAGGTATATATGACGTGAGCTTCTAGTCAGTGTGTGTGTGTATATATATAGTACCAACAAATGAAGTAGCACGAATCAATTCACTTGACATATTCATTCATGCATCATGTTACTACTAGTTAATGTGTCTGTGTCACTGTAAACAGAGAGGTGTAAGATCGGGTCAACACCTCAGAACGAATGGTACTTTTTCAGCCACAAGGACCGGAAATACCCTACTGGGTCGAGGACAAACCGAGCTACTGGCGCTGGGTTCTGGAAAGCAACTGGCAGAGACAAATGCATAAGGAACAGCTTGAAGAAGATTGGTATGAGGAAAACACTGGTGTTCTATCGTGGTAGGGCTCCCCACGGCCAAAAAACTGACTGGATCATGCATGAGTACCGTCTTGATGATGATGACATCACTCATCATAATCATATTAATGATCCTGATCAGCCAACTGCCACTACTGCAGTAAGTAGTACCTTAACTAGCAACTGGCATTAACTATCATATATAATTATGCATATGATGTAACTAATTAATTTTACTGATGACTGATCAGGAAGACGGATGGGTTGTTTGTCGAGTATTCAAGAAGAAGAATCTGTTCAAAGTTGGCAACAGTAATGGCAATAGTAGTAGTAGTAGTATGTCAATGATGGTGATGATGAACAATGTTAATGTTAGTCATGGTTATGATGATGGTGATGATGCAGACCTCAATATGAGCACTTCTTCTATATCTATTGCTGCTGCTGCTGCAACCGAATCCCGATCCCTCTTCAGTACCCATGGAAACAGCTGCAGCAACAATATTGATAATATCAATCAGTCGACTCCGTATTTGCTGCACTCTCATGATCAAAATATTAATTATACTGATCACAATAATAACATTATACCCTTATTACCCCCATATCATCAATATCCACAGCAGCAGCAGCAGCTTGAAGCCCAGAATTTCATCGTTAATCGTCATAATTTCCGTATTGCGACGACCACTACAACAAGTCCTAGTAATATCATTAATGCAGGTAATTACGATAATGGGAGCAGTAATTGTATGCAGGTTAAACAGTTCATAAGAGAAGATTGCTGCGAGAGTGCAATAAGTCCCGCAGGTAATTACCAATCTCCACAGCCCGCAATATTGGAATGCAATAATCAATCGAGATCAGATGATCATCCGAATTTCAACGAATGCCTTATTGCGATCAATAATGCACCTACTTCCCAACATCACCATCAGGAATCCAATAGTACCGCCAACTCCTCCTCTATCAACCAAACCAATCCATTATCGCTAAGGAATGAGACTGACTTCTGGGCTTATGCCAAGTAGTCATACCTACCTGCTCAAACATCATATATTTCCTGACATATTCAACACAATTTGTAGTACTACTACTCTTTTTTTCTATTCTTATATCAACTTTAATTAAATTTATGGACAATTGATGATGTGGCAATGATGCTTACTTGTCAAATTCCTCTCATGATTAGATTTGAATCAGGCTCTGGCATTCTTTATAAGCATACCGTTGGAAAATTAAGCTAAATTAATTTAATGGAGAATGTAGACATGCATGGCTGAAATAATGAATAAATGTTGGAATGCATTGACTTATTGTTGTACCATCTTGTGATGGTTTGAGCGTTTTACATTACTCATGACTGTTATAAGAAAAATGCATGCTGAGGCCATTCATGCAGTTTACACTTACAAAGTCTATGGCACCATTTATTTTGAACTAGTAAAGTACACGTGCAATGCACGTGGTGACAAATATTTTTGGCCGATAAGAT